AACCGACGTTTCGGAGNATCTTGTTTATTAAATAAAACCCTTTGTATGCTGTTCATGTAATTAAATATTTCATTTTTTCAGTTGTTTATTTAATGACATCAGTATTCAGCATACATAAATAATAACTTTAATATTGTACAAAGACATTTATTTTAGTACTTAAATATTTCTAACAGATTATGGAAAATACATTTGAACAAAAATTTTGAGGGTATTAGACACTGGGCTACAGCAGTTTTAAATCCCAGCAGTAGTGGTCTATAACTTAAAAATGAGGAACTCTGGTTTATAACACTACTTACGTGTCTCTCTTACGGACTGTGGCTCTGCCATGGTAATTCACCATATAGTCATTTATGAGCCGTTTATGAAGCTCATACACTGAAAGAGATGAAAGTGCAGCTTTCAGTGATCTTTGTGTGACTGAAGCTTCACCCTCATTGGCAGTTGATCTCTTTATCATTGCGCCTGTTGAGGAAATCATATTATGTACAGTGTTTGATTTTTGTAATTTTCTTCAGCAAGCAGTTTCAGGAATAGTAGTTTACAGTAGGCTATAACAGCTTCCTTCCATATCTGCCCCAAGTCAATTTTTATAATCATCCTGTCATCTAACATTATACAGCCTAAGCACTTGAAAAGCATAAATAGACAGACAAAGCAGTTTTGCAGTTAATTCATAATAATGACAACCAACACATACTGAGTACCTTAAAAATATTCAATGTTTGGAATATTTGAAGGGGCATGTGGTAGCGTAGTTGGTTGAGGGGCTATGCTACAAGGTGGAAGGTTGTGGGTTCAAGTCCCGATGAGGTCGTTGGATTTCTTTTTTTTTCAATTGCCCTAATCCTTTCAGCCGCACTATGGCCCTTGGGTCGACTCAGCCTCTAACAGAAATGAGTACCAGGAATTAAATAATTTTCCTGAGGAGTAAAGTGCGGCCGGCACATAAGGCTGACAATCATACTGCCATCTGTGAGCCGATTGTCTAGATAATGTGGGAACCTCAATGTCTCACAACCCTATGGGCCTCCACGTTCTGGTACAGATATAGCTTTACTTTTTTTACTTTGGAATATATGAATATTAATCTGGACTACTGTTTAGGTTCTTAAATGTAATGGAATATTAATGGATTCATCATATATTATGAAATCAAATGAACTCCATGGAACAGAGTCCTTGGGAAGCCAACAGTCACCTAGTCAAGAAATTGTCCTCCTCTTAGAAATCCCAAAGGTTCATTATTGGATTCGTGTGTCCATACTGGACCTTAGCCAGTCGACATCCTCATGTCCTGTTTCTTTCCATGCCACAGACTATTTTGCTTATGTACTTCTTAGCTGCCTTCTTCTTCTTCTTCTTCTATGGCGCAACAGCCCGATGTCGGGCCTTGGCCTCCCTTATCAAGCCCTTCCATTCCTCTCTCTCCTGCGCTGCTCTCTTCCAGTTCCTTACACTCATTAAAATTTTTAGCCTACTTCTGTATTTTTTAAAATAAAAGTGGGCTTATGATATTGCCTTGCTGTCTGCGTATCTGTATGTACATCCTCCCCTATTGTTGCTAGGCAACAGCTGGGTAAACATGTTCCTGTGACAGCGAATATGTATGCAACAACTGGAGGACTTGTGAATGCGCCATTTTCTATGCAGTCTGTATCATATCAAAGAAACATCTGTGTATCCCCCCTATTGTTTGTAGGCAACAGCTCAATAAACATGTTCCTGCAGCAATGAATGAACACACAACAATCGAATTGTTGGATACACCATTTTCTATGTGGTCCTTGTATTAAAGGAAAAACAAGGAAAAGCTAAAAATAAATGGCAATGGCTCAGTAAATACCTTCCTGCTGCAATGAATACAATGATCCCAGGTCTGGTCAAGTGGGATTTGTGGTGGACAAAGTGGCACTGGGGCGGGTTTTCTCCGAGTACTTCGGTTTCCCCTACCAATCTTCATTCCACCAAATTCTCCATCATAATCACCCGGGGCAGGCTACAATAGGCCAATCAGTGGCCGCCATGCCAAGTGGACCCAGTTTGACTCCACCCCCCACTAAGCGAATTAAAGAAAATGAATTAATTACACTGAAGGTATTTGAGAACAATGCGCTTAAAAGAATATATGAACCAAAGAGGGGATGATATAGTAGGAGGTTGGAGAAAACTGCATAATGAGCTTTGTTACTTGTACTCTTTGTCAAATATAATTAGAATAATCAAGTCAAGGAGGATGAGATGGGATGGGCATATATCATGCATGGGGAAGAACAGAATGTGTATAGGATTTTGACAGGAAAGCCAGAAGGAAAGAGACCACTAGGAAGACATAGATGTAGCTGGGAGGATAATATTAAAATGGATCTTAGAGGATGGGGCGGTGTGAGCTGTACTGATCAGGCTGTTGTAAACATGGTTCCATAAAATGTTAGGAAATTCTTAAGTAGCTGAGTGACTCCCCCCAAAGGTGTCTCCACCTTGTGGTGGTGGGGTTTGTGTGACTTGGAGAGCTATCCTGGGGTAGTTTAACTACCAGTAGGCGAGCCATGCTGGAAAGGTCAAAGGGTAGAGTCGAGACTAAGAGAGATACCCTGGTCCTCCAGGTTGGGGGTTGGGCACGAGGATAACAACCTCATGCTGTAAAAATAATTTTGTTCTGAAACCTAACAACCAGCCTTGGGTCATAATGCATGGATCCATCCCTATTTCAGCACTCATTGATTGTGGGGACTGGTTGTAGAGGAGGCCAAGGCTCACCTTGAAAGTGACCCTCATGCGTTAGGGAATATATTTCCAATCCAGTGTCGTTACCAGTGGATACTTTCTGTATTCTTTGGTGTACGATTTGTTTTTGCTTCATCAACATGTAACCAATTTACTACCATTCCACCAGGTAAAATAAACACTGGGCTGTATACAAGTAGCACACTTTAAAGCAGTTGATAATCCATTACTGATCAACTCTGCCACACACATTGGTTACTGAGGATGTAGAATGATTCCAGATTCATTTCAGGAGTTGGTAAATTATTGCATTCATTACCACATGCTCAGAACTCTCTTACCTCTAGCAACTATTATAAACAGGGATGCACAAAAACAAGCAAGCATACTGTCACATGCGTGACTATAGACGGGGTTTGCATTGGTGAATAGATTTATTGACCACTTACAGGTCGTAACTACAAATGACTATACAGTACTATACTATACTACAGTAATACTACTGCAGATTTTTGCACTACAAATCACTCCGTGCTGTCTTCTCAGTCTGCTTTCACTAGTTGTTACTTGGCAACAGCTCTCATCAATGGCTTTCTTCTGCAGTGTTCTCACTAGACGGTTCTTGGTAACAAATCTTAACAATGGAGATTCTTCAACTTCTGTGTTCACTCCATTGCCCGCTGGTTAACATTCCACACTTGAACTCTCAACCGAGTTCGCCTGCTGATTTTCAACTAAACACTGCTTTCTAAACACCGAATAGACAACTCTGTTTCCAGCAATACCCCTACTGTTATTAGTGCCAGGATAGTGCAGTTGGTATAGCAACTGGCTACAGGCTGGACGACCAAGGGGTCGGAGTTTGAGTCCAAGTGGGGGGCAAGAATTTTCACTTCACCATGTCATCCAGACAAGCTCTGGGGCCCCACCCACCCTCCTATCTAATGGGTACCTTGGGTAAAGCGGCCGGAGCGTGGAGCTAACCACTCACCTACAACTAGTGCCAAAGTCAAGAAAACGTGGGTCAATACATCCACACCCACGTACATCTTCATAGAGTAGTACTTAGTTAGTTAAACACAGGGGTCAGCGATCCCTATTGTTGTTTACCGATCCACTGCTCAGAAAAGGATTACATAACCCTGTTGTTCTATTGCTGCATGTGCGTATGTTGCAGGCGTTACCTAGCAACGGCTGCTGTTTACAGAGTCAGTGCTTAGCAATGGGTCTGTAAGCCACATTTTCTACAGGGTAGCTTAAAAACTAAATTAACTTTGCACTCAGAATTCATGGGGATAGAGAAGGGTGCTCACAGAACAATATGTTAGTTAGTTTATGATGCTGTCACTTCTGATGCTATGTACCGAATGACATATTGTAGGATGATTATGAGGGATATGAGAGGAAGTGGTTCTGGCCCATTTTAACATATCATCCCAGGAAATGTCTTGTAAAGGCTGAGGAAACTGCCAAAAAAAAAAAAACCTTCAGAACAGTCAGCGTCTGAGTCAAGATTTGAAATGGGCTCTCATATATTAATGTCCTAAGCACTATTACGCTGTGAGATTTGATTTGTGCAGTTTTGAAAAACTTCATTTCCAAAAGCAGTGCTATTAGCAGTCCCAAAAATTCAGGACAGGTGTTCCCCATACTTTTTTTCTCATAATCACACATCGACATTCAACTTCTGTGTCAGTACTATGGGTAACAGGTGACTGCATGCTGCAGCACAGAGTATGATGATTAACATTTGGCAGTGAAAGGATCAAAATCAGTGAAACAAGAGTTGAGTGATGGTCTCCAATCAGGCCATCGGTCCTGCCACTGTGCAGATGCAAAAAAAAATGGTGCAGTATGCCCATTAAACATATGATGATGCTGAGAATGTGGTCATTTTGGTTTCATGCCTTGCTATATGCTTGCAAGAATCATACCCACTGCTACAAATGCAATGCCACCACTACCTGGTTTAAATTATTATAATGAAATATCATTTTCAAATTACTCATCCCCCATACTATTCTGGGATTCCAACAAGACTGCATAGTACTGTTATTTGTGCAGCAGTAAGAACTGTCATGCAGTGCTAGTTAATGAATTAGCACCAGTCTCTTGTGTACCATCTGCTTCCTCCCACAGCTTTCACAACTTACATTTTCTCTGTTGTAAAAATGAAGTGTTTGAGATGGTTTTATTTTAATGACATTTGTTTTCTGAACATGGAATATTATGGGCCCCAAGTGACAAATTTTGCAAAGAAAATCCAGGTGCTGAGTTTTTAAGGTCTTTTATTATTTCAAGTGAAAGACAGAGCATAGTGGACCTGTGCACAGCGATGACAAGTCATTAGAATACACTGCTGATTTTTACAGTATTAAAATGCATGAACAGTCAAATTCAAGCATACTTCTCAACATGGAAACTTGTTGTCTTTGTATGTCTTTAAATTGTTTATGTCATTACAAATTAATAAAAACTGTTGGCTTGATTCATCACCCAAATACAAGCATCATTCATCTCATACTTTAAAGAATATAAAATTCATACAGAATCAAAATAATATTCCAATCATCATGGCATGATATACAGAGGCAGCAGTTACCCAAGATTTCTTTCTAAATAACCTCAGGACCTCTCCAAACAGGAGGCATGCACAGTGTAGTAACATCAGTTTAGTCTGTCACAACTTTATATTGGGTCCCTTAATGTGGATACTTCTTGGCTCATGTAAAGACACAGAAGAGTTACGGAGACAAAATTTAATAAGCAGTAGCTGGAAAATTTAAATGTCGTCATTCTTCTGTAACAGAAGGTCTGGGATGTTCCAAATTGCTGCAGAATGTGTTAGCGTCCTCAGTGTCATCTGACTGACCTGTAATTCTGTTCAGTGAAGTACCTTGGTCTAAGAAGAGTTATAAAAAGAATTTTATTCACTTTTTCTGAAAATGTCATACCTGCTTTCTGTGATCCATTTGACATTTCAGGGGTAGTGAGCATATTCATTAATTCTAATAGTAATAAATAAAATTAATGAAACCCGTTTAACTAGCTTACTTAATGTTCCGAACATAATACATACTTGTAAATGGCTTAAGAAAAACAACCAACTTGTGTTAATGGAGAAATATGCAAGGTATCAACAACAGAAATATTAAAAAAGTGTCACATCAAAATAAGACATCCATTATTAGGCATCAAATGTTCTAAGTATGGTGATTACTTTGTGACTAAAGCTATTGTATAAATTAAATCAAATGAGCAAAAGCTAAAACCAACCCATGCTAAATTTCAGTAGTGGGTTGCCAAAGCTTTGTATTTACATATATGCAAATCATGATGGTTTTACAGAGAAGTTGGCAAATCAATGGATTTATTTCAAATACCTGTGAGCCTATACAACAATTTTCAATTCTTTCTTGTATGTATACTTTGGGTCTAATCTACTCCTACTGTCTGTGTATCCACAATGACATGCTTTGATGTTTTATGGCTCCAATAGCCAAATTGCAATGAAAATGTTTTACCACATATCTCACATGTATAACTTGAACTGGACTCTGCCACATGACTTTCTGCATGAGTTTTGAAGTTCTTCCTGTAGCGAAATGATTTGTCACATTCTTTGCACTGATACAATTTTTTCCCTGTGTGATTAGAACAGTGTTCATTTAGCAGCCTCTTCTTGTGATACCTTCGTTTGCAAATGTGGCATTCATATGGTTTAACACCCAGATGAATCCGGATATGATTCTCACATTTAATCAGTCTCTTATATGTTTTAGTACAAAATTTACATGTAAAACCTGATGGGCATTTTTCCCAGTGTTTGGCAATTGAATCTTTGTTAGCCTTGACAACTTCAATGACAAGAATTTCATCTTCCTCCTCTGTGGGAGAGGAACCGTTCAAAGTAGACCCTGAGTCAACAACTTTTCCCCTTTTCTTAGAGGAATTCTGTGGATTCCTTGAGGGAGGAGGAGTGTATGAGGGAAGCGTATTTAATGGACTTTGTGAGGACACTGTGTGCCAGTTTCTTATATCTGAAGGATTCTTGGATGGACTTTGCATACTACATGCTGAAGATGAAAGTGAATTAGACTGGTTTTCTGCACAAGATGGAGAATGCCAGTTGCTTGTGTCAGAACTGTATAGTGTATCAATCACATATTCAGCAGGCATAGAGGTGCTTGATATGTCGTGGGTAGAAAACACATCAACAATTTTTAAAGTATTACATACTGAGTCTATGTCTTCTGACTGACTAGGTCCTGCATGTTTTTGCACGTCAACAAGAGCAACAATTTCTGGTGTTTCATAAAGATCAGGCCCTATATAAACATCGTCCCCCATAGCAACCTCGTCCACATGCACAGTTTCAGCTGAGTTTCCAACAGATGTTTTGGAATGGGATTCGTCAACTCTTGATAATTCATGACTTCTAATGCCAGAGGAAATAGGAATGTGTATATCTGATGCATTTACAGTCTGCTGAACCACTGCCACATTCGAAACTGTTGATGTCAAGTTATCTGTCTGAATGAGACATGGTTCCTTATCATTTAATGGCATACGATTAGTCTTTTGCTTCTTTCTACGTGATCTACTTGAAGCACTGTTACATGTCTTCTTAGTCTTTCTAGAGTTGGATTTCTTGTATCCTCTATCACCCACAGCCTTCACAAGTTCTTCTATAACTCCATTTCTATAATTAAAAGAATATAAATTAGTAAATAAAATTACTGCAGAAATAGCAAAAATGCAACGTAAGTTACTAATTTCAGTGTAAAATAAGAAAAAGGAGGAATATGCTGTCAAAGTTACTCTTCCTAACACATCACCTTAGAAGAGTATTGAGGTTGAATGGTTCCCCAAAAATGTTTAGCTCGGTTTCTGCCTGAGGCACTTCCAACTCTGGTCTGTTATTCTTTGCTGTCTGCATGTTCTCAACTGCAGGTTTTGCAGAACCACAACTCATCCGTGTTTGCACATTGCTGGGGCTATTATTCAGTTCAGATGGAGCCAACACATCATTCCTCATCTCCCCATGTCCTCCTCTAATACGAGTTTCACTGATTTCATTTTGACTGTATGCTGTTTCAGTGTTACAGAAGTGCAGGGCGTCCTCAGAAACATGGAGAATGCTTTCTGGAACAGATTTTTCATCTGGTGTCCCATGTATAGATCCATTTGGTAACTCTTCCACTTCAGCTGTAGGTGTGATTTCATTAGGCTAAAAACAATTGAAAGCATAAATAAGGTCATGAGGATGACCTTCATATATCAGAGCTGCAGAAACCCCAGGACTAACGCTGCCATGCTAACTGATATTGTATTTTGAGTTTGGTACATCTGAACATACAAATCACATTAAATAAATGCCAAGAAAAGCCAGTATTTTTGTTGGCTACTAAAATTCCTGTCATTCTTGAACACTGCAGCAACCCTGTCCTTTTGTTATAATTACATACTGATAAAAATTTTACACAAATAAGCAGGGCTCTGTTCCAAAGTATACACCTCTACATTTTTTCTCAATTACAGTGTGAGCACAGAGAGAGTTCTGGATTATAATTTAAACATACTTCTCGCAATCTGTAAATAATTACCACAAACTGTAATTAATAATCATTTATAGTGCTTTAACCAAGACATACTTTCCCCAGTAAAAGAGGAAAATGCTATGTATACATGTATCACTTTCTCCAAACAGTCATCACTGAAACTGGTTAGGAGCACACAAAGGTACAACTCTCTTTAACAGAAGTTACTTTAAATCTGCTGTCTGTAAGTCATTCATAATGGCTCATTATTAAGTTAAACTGTTAGAGAAACCTCTCTTGATATCCATGATTTAATGGCATCAGTGATAAAAGCAGCTATGGGGGAAAACTTCAATAAACTGATCCAAGCTGAGCTTTTCTTCAGTTCAGGTAAAACATTTGATTTTTGTATTTCCTAAATGCATCATGAAACTGTTAAAAAGAATAATAAAGTACCATGACAGTGTATGTCCAGAACATTATTCAAATTGGGATATCTTTCTAAATGGACTTTACGCAGACATGAAGAGTGGACTTCTTATTCAGTGACACTGACATTCTCCAGACCATATACGCAAGAAAACATGCTAGATTAAGTACTCAGAGGATCCTATGACCTGTACAGCACATTCCCTGCGAGGCTGATGAGGGATCCCACCTGATATGGTGGAGTAGTCCCAAATATATTAAATAAGGGCTTGTGAACCAACAATGGGCCTAGTTCCTTGGGAACTGAAAATACTGGGGAACTCTACGTAAGTTATAAAAATGGAGGACTGTCTGGAAACATTGTTTTAGTAGAGCATTATCATGCTGTAGAGGCTAAATATTCCAGTGCATGATGATGATGATGTGTTACATTAGGTAATTATATGGTAATAATCTTCTGTAATATTATTTGTCATCAGTTATAATAATCTCTGACAAACAGTTACCAATGACTTACCCAAATTTTGTGTATTCATTGGTTTTGGTCACATTATACCATGCTACAAATATATATTAATTTATAAATAAAATACCAGATGAGAAGTGATTACACTACTTCCTATGAGTTCCCAAGTTGAGCAGGATAATAGATGAAAGAAATGCAAATATAAATTTTAAGAACTAACATCCTGTAATTTATTGTCTTACAAGAATGCTACCTGATATAACAATGATAGTACTTACAGACCAACTTTTTGAACTCAGAAAACGTTCCCGTAACAGGATCTGAACTCTCCTACAACTTTCTTGGAATGCAAAGGTAGTAAATAATTTTCCAAGGCAACATTCACAAATATATTTTGGGAGTGGGTCATATTCATACACCTAAAAACAAACAGGTTACAAAGATAAACCTTCATGTATATGCACACACATACAATGTAAAAATCTGTACATTTCTATTTCCACTGGTCACTGAAGTCATGAAAATGGAGAGCCTTGAAGAGGGTAATCTGAGTAATTCTCCTTTCATAGTAGTTTATTGTCATATCTGAAATTCCTCACTGACTGTGTCCCACAGTAGTACAAACTATAGGGATGACTGTATAATTCTGTTGCTGTGAAGGTAGACAACAATGAAGTTAGAATAGAGCTAATCAGCATGTGAGCATGTTCTAATACTAGTTCATTAAGTTCCCTAAGTGTCCAAGGCATAGAAGGCAAGATAAGTATTTCAGGTATGACTTTATAGATGTACATGTATCCTTCAACAGGTACTTTTCACCATAATCCAACTGAAACATGATCTGTCAAGAGCATGTATCCTGCTATGTATTCAGGAAGTCTCAGGATCAAATCTTGGCCCACAGATTAATTACCCCGACAGAGGTCTTTGTAGTTTTCAGCAATTCAAGCAAATCTTTGGATAGTATCTTAAAATAAGTTACAACCATTTTCTTCTATGTTCTTCCCAATTCATCATGCATTATCAACCTTGTCATTCAACATACTATAAACTGTCTAGTTAATAAAGCATCATTAAATAAACCACAAACAAACAAACAAATGAAGGCATTCACCTGTATACCTCCTTCAACAGATGTCCAGTCGCCAACTCTTTGCTGTAAACAGCCTTATTCTGTGCCTTACCCATCTCATACACTACAGCTGAACCATTACCATCAACATTTCCAACATCAGACAACATGAATTATCAAAATCAATTCATAAGGTAATAGGGAGGAAGCTATAGCGGCCTGTATGCTATGTTGCTTCAAGTGTTTAGCTACTAATGTCAAAGTGATCATTTTCCACAGAACATACGTATTTGTTTGAGCTCTTACAAGAAACCTGTTTTGCAGTGGTGGAGGAGAACAATATTTAATAAGTTTTAAGGCAGAGATGTGCATCAGAGTTTTGTGTGATGCTGAGAACAGGTGATGAGACGTTACAGAATGTGTTGGAACCGAATCAATAAGCCAAGCTACAGTGTTTCGATGATGAAAGCATTTTAAAGATGGAAACAAAAGGGTGGTTGACGATGCTCAAAATGAGGGCCCCAAGCACTACTCTCACAGATTACAATGATTACCTTGGAAGTAAACTGTGAACATTATTATGCAAATACACTTAAAACTTATTTGTGGAATGCTACTCAGAAAAAAAAAAAACTGAATTCTTGACAGACATCAGTTGAATACATGTATAACACCCACCCTACCAGCCAGGCCTCACCCTATGTGATTTCTGGACATTTCCAAAACCTAAATATAATCTATGAGGGCAGAAATTCAGCACTGATACTGAAATGATACAAACAATCACCACTACCTCATGTAAGTTGTCTAGAAATGGCATACTGCTCCAAAGGATGCAGAGCATGTGAAGGGTGTTACTTCAAAAAAGTGCCCAAGCCTCAGAATCCTCAGATAATGGGTTACTTTTCAAACTACCCTCATGCATGTGTGTGTCCATGCTTCAAGCATATTATCCAGGACAAAATGTGAAAGTTTACTCCCTGCAGACTCTGGAATCCAGAAGTAGTTTTAGCATAAATATATACTAATGGCATTTCCAAATCTCCATACAATATTTTCTCATCCTTTGGTTGTTTATTATAATTAATATAATAGGAATCTTCCTGGATTCAAGCTAGGCAGATTCGTACCATGGCATCACATCTACCATGCGTGGGACATCACGGTTTACTTAAATCCGGAAATGTAGCATGTTTTTCTGTGACTTTCTGAAACCTTGGGGTAACTGGAATATTTGAACTGTGCAAATTATGCTATTCCCTACATTGGTATAACACAGGGATCAACAGAAAGCATCATGAACTCTTGTTATGGGTCATTACAGATCCCATTAGGCACAGAGAATACCAACATGCATGAGCTCCTCGTGGACTTCTTGTTCCACATACTAAATAAAAAATATATAATTATTACGAACGTTATAATTTTCATTCGCCAACTGCAATGTTACTTACCGATATATCAAGCGACAACTTTATTTTATATGCTATCGCTTCTTGTACTCCTTGTTCTCCGAATATTGCTAAACCTGATAATTCATTTTCACATTTCCCGCATAAACGACAAATAAATATCATTTTTAAAATCAAATTCTATAGATGCCAAATCATTTTCCCCACTATAATTCACAATATCTACACGACCCACAATACTCTCACTGCATTCGTTCATACCTCTTCCTACAAACGTTTCTACTTCCTCTCCGCTCGTTCAGGTCTAGTAACACAACAAACAGTAGAACTAAAAAACAGGACGGTTTTTAGAAAATAGACGAGACGATGGATAATGTCCCAAAACATAATACTTGTAACAATATACCATCGTCACAAAATTTTAGATCTTAGTATTACACTTCATTGACATGCAACTGCAACGCAACTACGATTTCCGAGAAATATCGCCGATTTCAAGCAGGAAGCTGGTTTCCAAATTAGCTGGCGCACACTGAGGAAACTTACGTTCTATTAGTTGCTCACATCATCTCAAATGGGTGTGTTGCCCGCCAATTTCGTGCACTTCTCTTCTGCAATGTCAGATAATAATACTGTTCCTGTAATGGTATTTATTTATTTATTTATTTCGTCTCTATAGATCATTGTTATAAGATGTAGGACAAGTCAGTTACCGAACATTGGCGGATTACAATAAGAGAGTAAAGTGTCAATATTTAACAATTGTTTACAATAGATTACAGTAAATTACAAGACAAAACCCCCCCTCTCTGTTCATATTTCCTGGATGCAGTTCAATCCAGGAAATATGAACAGAGAAGGGGGGTTTTGTCTCAGCAAGTCTTGGAAACCTCTCATCTGTTCTCTTAAAAAACCCCCACCGGGATATGACGCCAGATCCAGATTGCCACACAGGCCATGACCAACCAACATAACAACCCACCCCCTCAGCTTTCGGGTTAGTGCCCAGCCTTTAACCTTGCCTTTCTCTCCCCTACACAAAAACCATGCTTGTCCCAGCTCCCTTCCCCGCCCCTCCCACACCACTGCTTTCACTTGTATACTTGCCCTTCCCCCCTTCACTCTCTGCTCTCACATAGCTGTGTATATTTCCACACAGTCTGCTTTTACCGGTTCTCACGGTCTCTTCGCTTGCAGATTTCTTATATTTTTTCTTCTACACTGAAGATGGAGGCGATACGTTCCTCCGAAACGTCGGTTAACACCACATATACACGGTGCCAAATCCCAGAAGACTGCTTTCTTCATAGTCACCGCCATGAAAGCCTCAAATCTTATTTATATATCTGTTGTTTTACAGAATTGTACAACAGGCTGTACAGCATAACACCCTACCACAACTTACTATTTTATAATTTTATTGTTATTTTTATGACAACCTCGGAATATGGAACTGTTTTCATTTGTTGGTAAAATATGTCTCTCTCTGTACTGTGATTAGTAGCATGCTTCGTTGATGTAAATTGAGTTTCCCAGTCTCCCCGCGAATTGCGTTGCCGTTTCCTCAATTTGCGCTGCTCCGTTCACTAACATGTGTTCAACTCTGGCTGATAACGCTTCTCGGAAATCGTGGTTGCGTTTCGGTTTCTAGTTTCCTTGGTGTGCGCTCTGCCCTAATCTCCTAAGCATGTCACAAACTCCTGGAAACTTATCATGGAGACATCTTTCCACTGGAGGTGCGCAGTACTAGTGCAAGTACTTGATTTCCTATATTCGTATAATTGCCTAGCCTTTCTGAATCCGACCAACTTCCGAACGTTACCATGGAAATGGGAATGAGGGGCGATTGTTTACACAACATGGCGTCTCAGAAATGGCTTGAAATGATCCAGAAAGCAGAAAAGAAGTGCATAATTGAAGATGGTAAATATAACACAATTTTATAAAGCAATGGAAGAGAGCTTTCAGAGTACCTAGAAATTTGATATCGCATTGGCTATGATTTTATTCAGTTTTTCGTAATAATAATAGAGTTTATGTAGGGAAGATATTCCATTGTTATACTAAGTTCTTTTTGAGATATGCAGTGAGCACCAGGAAATTGAGCAAGGCACCATTTAGACTAGTTGAATCCTGATTCTGACTCTGTGCCTGTAATAATGAATGAATGTAATGACTCTTTCATATAGTGCAGGGAGTGTCAGTTGCCAATGTAGATGATGACACAAAGCATTTGGGTTTGGGTTTGTGTCTGTGTGTATCAGCGCTTGAGTACCCTGCATATTATACACTTTTCCCGTGCTTTTATTCATATTATTTTCAACGTCTTTTTATACCTAGATTTCTCTTTTAGGCACAAATGTATATTGTACTTTAACCATGATGTTGTCAGAATATTTACATACTTCAGGAAAACAAAAAGTTCACTACCAGTTTTCACCAGCAGAAGAGATGGTTGAGGAGTATAACTGGGAGACAGGTGTACTAATAAGACGAGCCTGGCGAAAGAAGAATACTTTTGGAGGAGAAGGGCAGTGGGATGTGGAAATTGGTGATCCTGAAACAAGGTTTTTAAATCTTAACCAAGTGGGCATCAAGGAATCAAGTAGTGCTGTAAGACTTTGTATTTCAAAACTATGATGTCAGAATAAGGTTTACTTAGAGAAATAAATAAAAATCTTCAATGGACACCAATATAACCCCTTTCAGGAAAGAAAAATACTTACATATGGCATAGTTCTCCTTGGCTGCATGGCCCTTTATGAATCATGACTTCCTTTATGACAGATTCCAGTTCTTCTGTCATCCAGCATCCATCGTTAGGTTCCATGACATGTATTATTTTCTGAAGCCTCATGACTAACTCACAGCCTGGAGGACCAGGAACTCTGGCCCATTTGCTTAATATGTCTAGTATATGTGACCTTGCTATGAGGTTATGCCCTTACTAGCATAACTCTCCAGGCGATCTAGGCATACAAACTCTCAACCACTGTAAGATAGTTGTCCAGTGGGAGCCTTACAAATGTCTAGAGAATTGAATTTTCAAGGTTTAAAAAAAAAAGATGTTACTTTCCCTGCTGTATAATAAATGTTAGCAAAGGAGGTCTATGAATCTGTTGAAGTTTGCATGTGTGGATATATGACAACCTCTTTAGCATGCACCAACATAGGCTGCGCCATAGCTCAAGTGGTTAGTCGCTGGCTTCCCACCGCGGCGGCCCGGGTTCAATCCCAGGTCTGGTCAAGTGGGATTTGTGGTGGACAAAGTGGCGCTGGGGCAGGTTTTCTCCGAGTACTTTGGTTTCCCCTGCCAATCTTCATTCCACCAATTGCTCCACAGTCACCCTCACCTATCATCTGGGGCTGGTACAATAGGCAAGAAGTGGCCACAGTACAAGGGACTTAGTCCCACCCCACTAGCGATAAAGAAAAAAAAATGCACCAACGTGATGTCATCTGACACTAACCCCTTTTTTGCAACATTTTTTATTTATGCTTGTACATCAAAACAAGGAAAGCATGAATTAATTTATGTTAAAGTAATTTAATTTAGACATAACTATAACAGAATTTGCATTTGTAAGGAGATAAAAATATATGTTCTAATAAGAGAAAGAAACGTTTCTGTATCTTCACCAGTACAAGCACAGTTGCCTGTCAGTAAATAGTGTAACTATATTAAAGTACGTGTGCTGGAGATCATAAGTGGTAACTATGAGGGCTATTCAGAAATAACCTCTGTTTATTTTAGGCAGCTAATGTAGGAGCGGGGAGAGCTTGCACATTACGTGACTCATTGCCTTGTAATCCGTTACATATCTGGTCATCTAGTGTTTGTTCTTGTCTGTACAGAATGAGTTATGATGTATCCTGCAATTTATAATCCCACCAACAGCAAAATTCGCTCTGGTATCCACTTTCTTCATGCCAGAAACATGAGTGCTGTGGAAATCCACGGTGAATTATGCATGGCAGTTTACAGTCAAACTGTAATGAGTGAACGAACTGTAAGACAGTGGTGTAGAATTTTCAAAGATAGGCGGGTAAACAAAGTTCACGATGAAGAGCGAAGTGGTTGGCCATCTGTAGTGAGTCATAATGTTGTTCAACGAGTTTGTGAAAGATTGCGCTTCACAATTCCAGAACTTTCTTGTGAATTTCCACAAATTTCATGCACTCTTCTCTATGAGGTTATCACAGGTAGGCTAGGCTATCACAAGTTTTGCGCAAGATGGGTTCTATAAATGCTCATGGGTGCACACAAAATGCAGAGAATATACAGGGTGTCCCAGGAGGAATGGACCAAACTTCGGGAGGGTGTTCCTTATGTTAAAGTATGCCGATATAACCCAAAACACCTATGTCCAAAGTTGAATGGTTATGGAGATAATGGCCTGAGAAAAGTGTGGTCTTCTGTGTGAGTCCACGCACTGTACCTGTCAGCTGGCATGTCTTATCTAAGTTTGTCCTTGAGTGCGGTGATTCACCCTAGCCATACTTATGTAGTTGGCTTATACCAGAACGCACATTGTCATGTTACGTCAGCGCTTGCCATTCATGTGTGATGTATAGTGCTTGGAAACCCTAAGGACAATTATGACATGGCGAGTGAGTATTTTGTACTTCAATTTTATGGCTTCATGTCACTCACAAGTTAGTTTGATGTTACATACATTATTAACATTACAGAATCCACATATTCGTGCCAGTTTTAATATGTATTTTGTAATCAACAAGTGTGTAACACAGGTCAAAGTTTGACACTTCTCTGGCCATTATCTCCATAACCGTTCAACTTTGGACATAGGTGTTTTGGGTTATATCGGCATACTTTAACATAAGGAACACCCTCCCGAAGTTTGGTCCATTCCTCCTGGGACACTCTGTATTTGATTTTATAATTTTAGAGCAATACCACAAGGATGGTGATGCATTTCTCAATCACACTGTATGAGTAACAGGTGACGAAACCTTGGTTTCATTTGTGAATGTTAAAACCAAAGAGCAGTCAAAGCAGTGGATGCACACACATCCACCAAACAAGATGAAAAATATTGTTACATGTTTGGAATCCAAAAGGGTTACTTCCATGGAAACGCTAGAACAGACCGTTGCACAGGAAATAACAATAGCAGTATTGTAATTCTAACAGTGAGCCTTTGTGTAGAGAACGCCGAATCTCCACGGATATGAACGACTGAAGACCCGTTACGTAACAGCGGACAGTAGAAATGAAACAGTGAGGAATGGTATCTGGTATCCAGTCCGCAGAACACCTACATAAGCCAAGAACTACAGAGCTGGTTAGACAGAAGATAGCAGGAATACAGTCTTCCGGAATCTGCGGCCAGAGACAGTTGAGATCCAACCACAGCCAAAGATATTTGAGACATCTCATTGAAGTATTAGGCCAGAAGCCAAGTGACATTGCAAGCGATAATAATTGTAAGGTGTGTAAGTGTGAGTGTGCAGTAAAGATCCGCTAGATCCAAGACCCACATAAAGTTATTTGTCGCGTGACATACCCAACATGTGACAATCTTATATTTCAGCATCCAGTTGCATTGAAGTATCACTTGTAATCTTCCTTCTCTAATGCAACAATATCAGTATAGATTTAGATGACACTAATCAACATTTAATTCGTTAAAATGTTTAAAAATTAATATTGATAACAATGACATACTTTAAGAGTACTATTGACAAACTGCACAGCGCAGTGGATTCCTTAAAAGTGTGTTGCCAGAAAATGGCCCTGTGTGGCTAAAACATGTAGAGCATAAACACAGAATGTATATATAGTTCTATGACATTTTAAATATTTTAACAAACATTTTAGTGATTTAAATGTTGATTAGTGATATCTAAATCTATATTGATATTGTTGCATTATATACAGAAGATTACAAATGAAGCTGGAAAAGTTTGGACAAACATTGTCTGGCTGCCAGAAAACTGATGACAACTGGTTTCTCAGACAGAAAAGGAGTGCTGATGGTGCGATTCATGGAACAAGGGACCACAGTGTTAGATGTTTATTGCAAAGTACTAAAAAAACTGCATAGAGCCATTCAGAACAAAAGACATGGAATGCTCCTCCATGACAGTGTGTGTCCACATACAGCTGCTCACCCTTGAGCACTACTGGAGCATTTCAATTGGGAATTATTTTAATAATCTCCTTACTGCCCTGATCTCGCTCTGAACGGCTATCACCTGTTTGCCTACGTAAAGAACTGGTTGGATACACAGTGCTTCAACAACAATGAAGAGTTGATAGAAGGTGTCAGAATGTGGCTGAGCTAAAGGCGGCAGTCTTCTTTGACACAGGCATTCAAAATTTTCTTCCTCAGTACTACAAGAACCTCATTTCTACCATTGACTGCATTGAGAAGTAGTTTAAATATGTACATATTTTTTGTATATAATAAAACTTTTTTTCTCATTAGTTTGTTTTGTTAACAGCTCACCAGAGGTTATTTTCTGAATAGCATGCATGCACGCATGTGTGTGCACACACACACATACAGGGTGTTTCACGACTTTAGGTCATAACTGCAGGAGGNTCAACTTGGATTACCGAGTTTTGGACTTTGTTCATCATCCGATATTCTAAGGAACATAATGTTTTGGAAACTGCATTTGTTTATGACCTCAGATGAAAGGGTGGGAGGCACCTATTCTAACAGGTTCATTACAAAGATCTAACTTCAGTCACTGGTCCATTAACGATTGTAAGGATTACAAATACTTGGTCATGAGGAAACAAATCCTTATGTGAAATGTTTTTAAATATATTTTCTGTGTGTTTATAGCCATTTGTTAGTCGAAGAATAACCAAAACTAGCCTGGAGTGGAGGATTAGGAATCTCCCATATCCATTGTCTGTGTATACAGTAAAAGCAGAACCAGAAAGCAAATGTATAACTGTAAGAACAACAAACAAGAAGTACTTCAAGAAGTTGGCAGTACCAGATTTGGAGCGAGCTGGCCTACTCCCAGAACAAGATAAAATACAATTTACACATAAACACAATACTCTTATTATAACAGTAAGTATGTTTTACTAAGTTAAACTTATCCATAATCAGGTATTGAAGGCATCTTAACTCTTTCAATTCTCATTTAGAAAATCGGCAAAAATGGCTGGAATGGGATGAGTGGATCCATGTCTAGAACATGTAGATCCAAAGAGATATATCAGTGAAACAGTCCCAGTAGACTTGAAAGTGTTAAAGCTACTATCTGATCAGCATGTTTGGAGCTCTTACTTTCAATATCAAACCTTACCTTTTGTGAGTTTTTACCACAATGACATTTTCTTCCGCAGTAATTATAAGTTTTCATAATATGTAAGTCACTTTTGGAATTCAGATCTTTATTATTATTTAAATTCTTCGGTGCTCCTCTGTAGAACTTAGACCAGTCAATGATTATCAGGGACATAAAGGTAAATGTAAAGCTATCCCTGTAACAGGCCATGGAGGCCCTTAGGGTTGTGAGATGTTGAGGGTCCCACATTATCTAGACAGTCAGCTCACAGATGAAGGTAAGCTTGTCAGCCTTATTCACCAGCTGCCCCAGGAAGATTCCTGGTACTCATTTCTGTTAGAGGTTGAGCCAACCCCAGGGCCATAGTGTGGCTGGAAGGATTAGGTCAATTGAAAAGAAATCTGCCTCATCAGTACTCGAACCCGCAACCTTCTGGCTTGTAGCCTAGTGTCTCAACCAACTATACTACTGCATGCCCCCTTATAAAGGCATAAGTTGACTAAAGACCCCTATACCAATGATATGTTTCATTTCATTTATTCTCTAAAAATTCAATAAATCCTTTTTTGGCCAAGCCTAGGATGTAGAACAAGTCACAGTTAAATCACAACATACACAAGAACAGTTCATAAACTAGAACTCAGTCACATACAGAACAGTCATAAAACAAATACATAGTGACAATCAAACCACAAAAAAGTGGAAATCGTTCAAGTTACCATCAATTGAATTACAACTCATAGAAGCCTACACAACACAACCATAACATATACATTTCACAAAATTTCAATATTAAGGTATACTTAAAGTTCAATTAACGAATACAAATATAAATATAAAATTGATAATTACATATATCTTATGAGATAAAACAGCTGAAGATGACATAGATATTGTCGGTACTAGTACAGTTCAATTCAATTCAATTCATTTATTTCATCCATAGCTGTAGAAACTACAATTGGACATGTCAGATAACAACAACATTACATCAAGCATAACATTCAAAGTACATGAATATAGAATAATAAATAATAAATACCTAAGACTAGAGGAAATATTTAAAACATATATACAGATTGAAGAAAGTTGTCTTCTGGGTTTAGGCACCGTGTATTCTTCGTTTTGGCCGACGTTTCGGAGGAACGTAGCGCCTCCATCTTCAGAGCAGTTGAATAGCTGCGGAGAGCAGTAGCTGTGGTGATAGGATGTGGAAGGTGCTGCTTATATACGAAGTAGGCAGGGGGGGTGGTTAGGGAGAACGGACCAATGGGAGCAGTGGAGAGCGATTAAGGCCATATATGGTGTGTGACTAAGGGCGAGGGGGAACGGTCAGTGAGTACAGGAAACTTGAGGTCAATAGCACTAGGAAGTGCGGTAGTCAAAACCGGTAGGTTGAGGACAGGCTATTGACGTCAATGACATGACGAAGAACTGGTGTGGCTTGTAGGATTCTCTTGAGGGAAAGGATGTTTCACGTCTGTCGAGATTGTTGAGAGCGATAAAGGCCATATGATGTGNAAAATTACCTTAGACTTTTCAGTGTTTATTATTAAATGATTTTCATAAAACCATTTTTCTAATTGATTCTTTACATTTTGAATTTTTTCATTTAATGATAACATGTCATTTCCAGTTACTTATTAATACATGCAATTAGCTGAGCACCTCAGATCTAGTAAAATGTACACCCTTCAGGTAGGATGACAGAAAAGACAAAGTTAAAACAATATAACAAGTTATATATTAAAAACCATACAAAAGGTTACAACTACTTCTGACTTAAGGCTAGGTACCATGTTGGTATCTCCCACTGAATAAGGATCAGACTTGAATCCTTACTACTGCATGAAAGCAAAAATGAACATGTAATTGTAATTGACAGAATTTGACTTAAGCTATTCTTACAAAGCTGTAAAGAATTGTATTACTAGTTGTCAGTTGTCATGTGTGTGTTTCAGTACCAGAAACCACCAGAAGTGTATGGATTAGAAAAAAAGGTTCTTCAAGAGTTAAAGAAAATAAAACCATGTAAGGAAGGAGACATGCAGTGTAATCCTAGCTGAAGAAGTTCATGGAATGTGCAGGTTCAGCATTTAAAAAAAAACATTTAAAGGTGTTTTCTTCATTATGGTAGACCTTCTGAAGTTGTAAACATTTTTATTTGCAAATTCTGATACTGTTGTGCATATTATGTTTATCTGAAAAAAAGAGAAGGTTCTCTCACCTTCCTTTTTCAATTTAAACTTGTAAAAACCAAGCTTTACCTTGATATTATAAAGTAAAATAAGCTGCATTTTGGGTTACAGGTTTTAATGGTTATTTCCTTTTGAAAGCCAATCATTTTAGTACAGATGAAGAAAGAAAAATATCGGATATAAAAATATATAACATATCTGAAGACTGACCTAGATGAGGAATTTTTGTTGTCTTCTCCCTGACATGAAATTAGTGACTGATAAACAGAAACATACTGTCACGTGTTGGGTATAAAATGAATGGCTGACACAGATGATGTAGTGACTGATCCATCCATTATTTGCTTAACCTTTAAGAGACGAAGTATGCCATATGGGACATTTAAAATGTAGTTGTCGTGGCCGAAGTGCGCCATATGGGACGTGTAGTCCACGTGCGTGCACAGTGTTTTGAAAAACTAATTTTAAGATAGAAATCTTTGTTTTACTTACATTCTTTTCCGGCATCAGCTTGATGAGTAAACAGGCTTCACGCCTGCATCATCTAACTTAATCTAGCCTTCGTGTGGTACTGCTAGAAACACCCAAAAATGCAGAGTCCAAAGTCGCGTTTTGTGCACTTTGTTCGGATATTTCTCCTCTTTCCACATGAAGAGCACACACAACAGTTCAGTCTCGTGGTTGTGATGTCGATTGGCTTCCTCTAATCGACATATTGTAGATGACAGAGCAGGAGGTCGACCTATGGGCCTTTGTGGGTGAGGTGGACCCCTTGCAGCATGTTCCAGCATATTTCGCACACGAGCGAGACGAAAGTCTCGATGTGACAATTTCGCACCACAGCATGACAACATGGGGAGCACGCGGTAGCATAGTGGTTGAGGTGCAACGCTACAAGCCGCAAGGTCACGGGTTCAAATCCCGACAAGGTCATTGGATTTTTTCAGTTGACCTAATCCTTCCAGCTGTACTAGGCCTCAGCCTCTAACAGAAATGAGTACCAGGAATTAATTAAATAATTTTCCTGGTAAGTAAAGCATGGCCAGCGCGTAAGGCTGACAGCCTTACTGCCATCTATGAGCCGATTGTCTAGATAATGTGGGACCCTCAACGTCTCACAACCCTATGGACCTTCACGGCATGGTACAGGGATACCTTTACTTTTTTTTTTTTTTACTTTTTACATGACAACATGATGAAACTGTCTGAAAACCACCCTCCCTTTGAATTATTTCATCAACAGACCATTGTTCAGAAGGATTATAATATTTTTGATATGCGTCATTTAGAGTATCGAAGATGGTCAGAATTTTCCATCGTCAGTCATAACTGTCGGCATTCCTGTCAGTTTCTGTATTGTTATCTGCAAAATGAATGAAACGAAGTAGGTGAAGAAAATGGTCGCATTTCATTGTGTTGCTGTAGCAAGGCATGCAAAATTGCTCAGCAGTTGACCAGTAGTCCTTCAGTCTGTCCCTTATATTATGTCCCATTTAGATGATGATTCCTAGAAACAGAAACATCTCGGAGTCGGTTGCATCACGGCATGGAGAAGGTCCATCTTCAAGTCTGTCTAGGTCCTGGTGATAATATCTGTGAGTCTCTTCCACCAGCAGCTGGATAATTCCTGCGAAGTAAAGCATGAAAACGCAGAGTGAGGCAGAATCCTTATTTACGTGTGGAACTTCATTGAGATTTATCCCCACTGCTCCACTGGAAAAATTATTCACACCCCTCCTGTCATGCTGGTGTGGTGGTCCCCAGGTTGTTGACAAAGATAATGGTTCTTCGTCGACTTCACTTTCGGAACTTCCGTTGTGACCACTGTCAAAATCATCTGTATCACACAACTGCCTTCTGATGTAACGTCCCAAGAATGTCTGCTACTAGGAGTTGGCAACGTCTGTAATCTGAGAATATGATTCAGCAGAAACAAATATAAACTTCCCCTCCCTCTAACTGATAAACCAGGAGCCAACATTTATACTGCTGAAACATATTGTGCATGAGGTAAAAGCAGAACTGTAAGCAAACGCTAAAAAATAAATAAATAAAAAAATAAAAAATAAAAGAATATCAGTGTAAGAATTTTTACAGATTTTAAAATCTTTCAATTACAATATCAGATTCTATATTCTTTCTTGATAAAAGCAACGTTAATTTCATTTGTTTACCACAAAAATTGTATTACTATTATTGTGTTACTATTATTAGCCACAGGAAATTATAAACATCATTTGGATGATCTTGTTCTACAGTTTAAATAGAAGCACACAGCCAGCATATTATTATTTCTTTTAACTGCAAACGGGTGCTTACCTGGTGACAGTGGTACAACAATAAGAAACAACAAACAAAACACAGCACACAATAAGGACACACTACACACAATGAATACAATGAAAATACAACTACAACAAATACAAATACAACTACAATTATATAAATTAATATTAATGAACAATAAGCATACTCTATATTAAAAAGTAACATTAATGAAATACATAATGTCATGAAGTGATCCACTCACATTTCACCATGACCTTCCCTTCATTCCACTTTACTACACTTATGTACCTTTCATATCCTCACTACAATTTACTACCCTTCACCTCACTTCACTTCGCTGCATTTTTTTTTTAAATTTCCCCCACGCCCTCACTTCACCTTATTTATCACTTTCCCAACCCTTTTCCTAAAATTACTTGGTTTACAGGAAAGAGTCCTTAAAGCATCTGCAGGCAGTTGGTTCCAGAGCAATATCTATGTAAAATGCCTCCGTGTAATCTTTGATGGAGACTACACATAGAAATTATTGAAGCCAAGGCCTTCAGAACATTTATTAGAATATACTCCCTGTTCAGAAGTGAGCATTTTCGTGCCAACATTAAACTAACCCTCCATAAGGCAATGACCAGATCAGTAATGATTTTTAGTTGCCCTGCCTTGGAATTAGCAGAAGACACCAACCTCTTAAAATTGCAGCACCTACAAAACAAGTTTCTCCAGGCCATTGGAAATATTTTAGGTGCACGCCGGTCCGCTATTTGCACACAGCTTTCAACCTTCCATGTGTATACAATTATGTAACAAAATTGTGCAGGCAAAAAACAGAAGTCATACAAGATCATGAGAATGGACATGTTTGCGGTATAGGACAAGGTGAAGCTAGACAGAGAAAATAAGAGGCTTAAACTTGCCAGTGGTCAAGCGTACAACTATTCAACTGATTAAGCTGCCAGTGTAGCATAAAATAAGTAAGATAGGCATGATCTGCTCTGAAAAGCCTGGAGTGACATAGGGTTTGCATGAGGTGCGAATTATATTTTCACTAACATGCTATGTGTACGATAGGTACACTTGACAAGGCCAAGGAAATTCATAAGAGAAAGCCAATCTTCTCGTCAGAGACCATATTACAAAAGTGCTGTGAATCCAAGGGTTCAGATGGGGTGGGGGAACCTCGTCGTGAGACTCAAGGGTGGTAAAAGGCGCCCAAGGGACTTAGATCAAGACGGGCTGACTGGTGGTAATTGAAAGTTAATTGAAAGTGACTATCTTGCTGTTAGTAACATAAATGGACGAACTTTCTGTGCAAACGCGTTTTTATATGTTGATAGCTACACTAAGCGTAACCTTGAGGAAGTTTCAGAACGCACAGTGTTAATTAAATATGGCGCTTTGAAGTTCTGTAGTATTGAACGTTGAAGAAATTAAAATTGAAAATGGCGAAGATTCCTAACAGGCAAGTGTTTTTATGTGTATATTTGTGAAATAATCGAATGTTTGGAGTACGACAGTATACCACTTCGTTAGTGTTATATTATATACAGAATTTTCAAAATCAACTTTTCATCCACGTGGGCATATTTCTATTTCATTGCAAGTAAAGTCAGTAGACTCCTTTGTGAATTATTTACCAAGGTTTACAGTATGTATATATATGTAGTTCTGTTATATAAACATGCCGTTCCTGGACATTTAAATTCGTAGACATTTGAAACGCTGCTGAATAATAGCCCATGATGTCGACTGGAAAACTAGAAGGAAAGAGACCACTAGGAGGACCTAGATGAAGGTGGGAGGATAATATTAAAATGGATCGTAGAGAAATAGGATGGGGTGGTATGGGCTGGATTGATCTGGCCCAGGATAAGGACTAATGGAGGGTTCTTGTGAATATGGTAATGGTCCTTCAGGATCCGTAAAATACTGGGAAATTCTTGAGTAGCAGAGTGACTGGCGGTTTTTCAAGAAGAACCTAGCTCCATGGAGTTAGTTAGCTAGTTAGTTACTGTACAGTCCACGAAGTGGACAAAATTGAGGTTATGTGTCCAGTAAAGGCTAGTTCTGATTCATTGTAACAGTAGTATTGGCTAAGAGATGCTTCAGCAGCCTTGTTATTCACGCAGTCTGTAGTAATATACAGTATTTATGATAGTTACATGTTGCATTCTTTATTGATAATATGTGATATTTCATTGAGTCATAATTGTTGTTTAAAGGCAGTTAAGTCTACACCTACATAGTTCATGATGGTGATATCATATAAAGTTCTGACTTAAGCCGTATATTTCTGATTCATATTTGGATAGTATTCATTCCTCCAATTAGTAGGGTGATTTTTTTTGCAAGTTTTCATTTGTGACAAAAGAAAATTAATAACAGACTGTTTATGTAACACACATCCGTAGGATGTTACAGTAATGCATCATGGAAATTATGAATTTCACTATGGAAATAGCCAGTTCAAATCAATGGTGAACTGAAAATGTTAACACAGGTTGCATTTCAGTTGTATCTAGTTTCAGAGACAGTTACTTATGCTAAACAACTCAGAGTGGAATTAAATAGATGGGAAGTTACAGTTTAGAATATAACTGAGAATAGAATTATACTCATGAAGGAGTAAAGTTTCGGGGTTCATGATAATAAATTACAATTTAGCTCAAATATTTAGGCACTAACATGTTATATAAGAATAACATATAAGAAGTGTTTGTAGGTCTCTCTGTAATTGACTGTACATATTATATTAATAAATTAATTTTCTGCCCAAGAAATTATGATGCTGTCCTTATGAATGAAAATGTTCTAACAGTTTTGATGGAGATGTTATCTCCTACTTATAGACTCAGAGGTGAAGAATTAGAAATTTTAAGTCATGTGTAACATGCTTCATCCTAGTACTATGAAGGTGGAAATGCCATTGCAAATACACCACAGTTGAAAGTGTTATTTTACTGCTCAACATGCATGAAATTAAATACAACCATATGTAGATATTTTTATTTATGTATATCATATGAACTTCCTGCAGACATTGTGAATTCAAGTTGCTGTATATATTGATGTTACTATGTAATATGTATATACAGTGCCTTCTTTGGTTACCATGACTGTACAGAATTTGCAGATGTATGGCCCATGATATGTTGGCTCAGTGGTTTCAGGAATTTTAATTTCAGCTCTGTAGTTTGGGATTAGAACATTACAGCACTGATTTACTGAATTGGCCTGTATGGACATCTTCTAGATGCCAATTGTGAAGAATTTCTTCAAAATCCAACCTTTTGTCCATTAAATTTAAAACACTAGTATAGATCATTATCAGGTCAGTTTCTTTGTGGATATCTGAATTTTAAATATAATTTTACTATGTTAAGAGGAGCAAGATTTAATGAATTCATATTACCTTGTAAATACTAACTGTAATAACATACATTGCCACATATTATCAGCACTCACAGAATTACATCATTGGACAAACAAAAGGAAGCTGGGCACATTCTGAATACATTCTGGGCATGGTGAGTAGGAGATTCAAATACCAGACATCCAGTGTGTAGTGAAGGTTAAAATAAGTGAATTATTTACTTTTTATATCACTAAGGAAAAAAAATTCCAAATAATACACTTACTGTAAATGATGTTACAGAGAATAATGGGAAAAGTAGCCACGTGGAAGATCTAGACACAGATGGGAGGATAGTATCAAAGGAGATCCTGGAGAAGCATGCATGAAGGTTGGCTTTTGGCTACTGTACATAGTAATTCATGTGAGATTTTAAGTTCATTGGACTGCACGTTAATATATATAGACGTAAGCCAAGCCTTTTATAAGATTTATCATGATGGACTCCTATTCAAGATCAAAAAAGGTGCTCCCTATAAAATACTTTAGAATACTCAAGTCATGTCTGTCTGACCGAGAATTCCAAACACGAGCTAACGAGGAGGTATCCAGCAACTTTACCATCCAATCTGGAGTCCCACAAGGGAGCATTTTAGGCCCGATATTATACGTGCTATTCACAACAGATCTCCCAACGACTACTTACACTACAGCAGGGACATTTGCTGATGACACGGTCATTCTAGCCAGCCATGATGATCCAGCAACTGCCTCGCAAAGACTACAAAGTCATCTAGACTAATTAGAAATTTGGCCAAAAAAGTGGCAGATCCACATTAATGAAACCAAATCTATACAGGTCACCTTCACAATGAGAAAAGAGCAGCACCCAGCCATACACATAAATAATACTGTAATTCCACAATCATCAACAATAAAGTATCTTGGATTCCAGGCTTACTTGGAAGCAGCATATAGCCAAGAAAAGAAAACAGGTAGACCTAAAAGTAAAAGACATACATTGGATCATTGGAAGTAGATCTTCACTTCATTAGATAGTAAAGTACTTCTTTACAAGACAGTCATAAAGCCTATTTGGATCTTTGGAATTGAACTATGGGGATGCACCAGTAAATCGAACATAGCCATTATGCGACAAAGGCAGTCCAAAATGCTGCTGATGATCACAAATGCATCTTGGTATGTGACAAATCAGACCCTACATGATGATCTCATTGTACCATTCATCAAAGAAGTCATCCAAGAAAAGAGCATAAAACATCATGATAAACTAGGACACCATAGTAATACATTACTGCAGCCCCTACTGGAACAATAACAACAACCACAAAGAAGGTTAAAGAAATTATGGCCAGCAGATCTACTTGATGGTTGAAGAGGTTCTCTCACTGAAGGAGCCCTCATCACGATACAATAAGCACACGAGGATGGTGCTTAAATTAGCAAATTAGCTTAAAGAATGTATTTAATTCTGATTGCTAATGAATATATATATATAAAAGTTCATTGGCGGTGAATGTTAAGACCGCAGTCTTTTTGAAAATCGCCTGTGAAATGACTGCAGCCTTGAAGATGACACAAATTGTTGACTGGAATTTTATGCCTTATTTTTATGTACATATAATGAAAAGTGTTATGTTCCAAATTGAATTCTTTTGTCTGATGAAGTTACTTTCAAACTTAATGCTTCTCTCCTCTCACTCAACACAATTATTTACTGTGTAGGCTAAGGAAAATCTACTGTGACAGTAGCTACAGCGGTTCCAGAGGAATTACTGGACCATGTTCCTTGAAGTGAACATCACTGTTACTTCCTGCCTACAGATGCTGAAGGAGAAAATAATATCACACATTAATTAAGTTTACACTGATGAAGAATGTTACATTTAGCGAGATGGAATGCTGCCACATTACTAGAACAGTGAGAAATGTCCTAAATTTTCTTGTACATGCAAGATGTGTCACACATAGAGGAACTCTGAAGTTTCCACCCTAATTTCTTGACTTACTGTCACTAAATATTACTTCTGGAGTGCTCTGAAGAGCATTGCATATACGAGGAAGTTTGGAGCACTGGAAGAATTGTGTCAGTGGACAGAATTTGTCTGTATGGCTGTTTCATTGGCAACATGGCTATAAGTGTGTTAGTCTGCCATTTGTACTTAACAACAATATATTGATGTAGGTGGTGGGCATATGGGGCCCAGTGGAAGGCTTTTTATATTTTTGTGAGTTATTTAACAGTGCTGCCAGTAACTCGCACTATACAGTGTCCAACAGTAGGATGATAGATGAACTCCAAATTGGATAGGATTTGAAAGGAGGTGGTTGTAACCTAATCAAGGTGCTATCCCAGCACTTGCTTTGAGGGACTGAGGAAGACCATGACAAACCTCAGTAAGGAAGCCAAGTGTCCTGACCAAGATTTGAACCACCACCTCCTGAATATGAATCTGGAGAACTACTGGTATGCGAACCCATTTGATCAGCAGGCTCTTATGAACACAGTAAAGGTTCTTTGGGGCTCCATAAAAGGCATTGAATTTTTTGACTAGCTGAATGACTACTAGTTTCTCAAGAAATATCTGGAGTTGGTTAGTTCTGCTCAGTTTGTGGTCTTGGTCATTTCTCTTCAAGTCTTTAGTACCCCACATAACCTTCACACTACAAACCGATCAATATTTGTGAATTTACTGTGACTCCATTTTGTATATCAGGTGGTTGTCGTACAGCCCAATGGGAGAACCCATTCCAGGGACCAGGTTCATCTCCTTCAAAGTGCCTTTGAAGCATGTAAGTAATTTTACTGCCTGATTATTACCCAGATGTTTAGGTTAATGAATGATACTGTCACATGGTAAAGTGACTGTAGACGGGGTTTGGATTGGTAATCTGATTTACTGGACTGCACTGGACTGGACGCATGACTGCACTTCACAGATCACTCTCACACACAGACAAGTTTTCTCAGTCACAGCCTTCACTGCATTGTTTGGTAGTACCTTCTGGCAGTGGATGTTCCCCTTCCTCTTGGTTCCTGAACTGTCCCCATCCTTAGTTACTGCAACTCTCAACTGCCTGCCTCTCAGACTCTCAACTTGGACTGGTAATGGCAGCTGGTCCCCATTATATAGCCCCAGCACAGACTGCACAGAAGACATCACTTGCAGCAGCTCTTCTGTTGTGTGCATGTCTGTTGCGGCAATCACATGACAACTACTGAGCCGTTGCCTAGCAACGGGCATGTTTACAGAGCTATTCTCTAACAACGGTTGTCTTTGATGGCTTCACAATTCTGACTTTCAGCAGACATGCCATAGTACTTTACACACAAAACATATTTTTTCTTATTTGGCCATATGTAAGACTGACTGATGGCACATACTATAGACCTCATTAATACCTGTAACTTTCATCTGAAACATTATTTGAGATGTAAGTTTTTATGAACAATTGTATGAGGGGTAGGCCTTCTCGGCCCTTGCACCGCGACCTACAGTGGTCTATTGTGCTTTTTATAAACAATTAGTCCCCCCCAGTTAGTGTGTTAATGAGCTTGGTCAGCAGTAAATTGTATCACAAAATGCATTGTAGTATCTTACTGAGATTATTTGTTTAGCGGTAAAATTGTGTATATAACAAGTGAGTAGCAGGGCCAGTAAGGTGAAATTGTCCCTGTGCGTAACTAACTAAGCACTATGTCATGAAGTTGAATGGGGGGAGTGGATGCATAGATCCATGTTTTCTTGATCTTTTCACTAGTTAGAGGTGAGTGGTCATCTTCATGCTCTGGCCGCTTTACCCCCCGGGGAAAGCCCCCAGTAGCCATTGGATTGGAAGCTGGGTGGGCCCCAGAACTAGTCAGGATGACATGGAGAAGAGAAAATCCTTGCCCCTACCAGGACTCTTAACTCTGACCCGTCGGTCATCCAGCCCACTGCCAGTCTCTACACCGACTGAGTTATCCTCGCTCTATCAGGGCCAGTATTATTTGCAAGATCTGAAAGAACACATCTGGAAATAATGTGCATCCAAATTTGGAAGTAAATAAATGTATTTTTACTTTCTTTAAATACAGCCATCATACATTCATGTATATAAACTTTAAACCTGCTTGAGATTATCAAATGTGAACCATCTTACATATATAATGTCTCACATTTATGCCAGTGCCACAAAAAGAGTGAGAGATGCTCAAGTTAAAAAGAATACTAGTATGTTGACAGTAAGGAGGTCTAGTTGATACATGTCAGCAGGCTGGGATTTGTTATGAACAAAATAACAGATAATAGGTGAGTGTGTGTAAAAATTATTTTATTTCATTATATGGGCTGAAATTGTTGAACCCTAGTACTGGTGCTCCATCTGGACCAACAGGGCCAGTGGACAGGGAAGTTATGAAAGAAGAGAAATTGTATAAACACGCAAGAGGTGAATTAAGATCAACAGCCGATCACTGTGAAAGCCTAAAATTACAAATTATTATAATTTACTGACAATCAGCTCTGCACGTGAAGCTGCCAAATGACTTTTATACATTCTTTCCATTTAAGCTTCTTGTTTTCTTTATTCCATTAAGTGACAATCCACAGGTGTTCTCATCTATTGAAGCTTTTGTGTGTCTGAGCAGAATTTTAACCACAGGCTTTGCACTGCTGTGGTCCTGATCAGTGGTGGAAATTACCTTGTGTGCTCACTCAGGTGCTGTGCCATTTTGGGTTTGTGGTTCAGAAATATTAACCAAGAGTTTTTAACTCTTACATTCCACACACATGCACACAAACACCCACACATGAATTCAGGATGAGTTAAATCTCTGATGGTTTCCAGTAATGTAGTTACTTGTTTTTCTTCTAAGGGTGCATGATTATATATTTTTTTGTTTAATGTAACTTACTTTTTAACCATTTAGAATGATGTTTAAATGTTTTCATTAATGACATTATTAATGTAGAATAAGAAATATGCAAGTACATAACTTCTCTGTTGAGAAGAAGAGTGTGGTCCTGGTTTTGGCCAAGGCAAAAGACTTCTGGCCAATTATGTCCACAGGCTTCTCAGCAGTTTTTACCTTCCAACACAAGGCTTTATTTGTAGTGTATTAAATATGGGGTCTTGGTCTCTAGTTCCATACTATGCGTTAGTGGGCGACAATGGGTTTGATTCATCCCAGACTTGACTTCAAACTTCTCTGCCATAATTGGAGTATGAATGTGTATATCCCACATACAATAATATGTTAGGTTTAATATGTGATTACACCATCCAGAGATGAAGTAGGCCACAAAACTTTGAATGTTTATATTCTATAATTATGTTAAACCGAAGAAGAATGAATGAAGAATTTTGATTGAACTGGTTACAGATTTTGATCATCTCTGTAATGAATGATTCAGTTTTATCATGACATTACTGAACAAGTTGGGGAAGAATGTATGCATAGCATAACAAAACTGTCGTGTCTGCTGCCATTAATTATATTGAAAATCATAGGACATGGAAGAAATATGTATTGGGCATGAAATGTATTTTACTCTTCTGTACAGCGTTTGTTCAAAATGTTTTTTCACTCAAATATGTAGTGAGTTACACATGAACAGCTAACTCTATGTGTACACAGACGTGCATTCCACTTCATGTGAAGTGTCTGTTACTTTTGTCTGATTTTAACCAAAATTTGAATGCATCTACATGTATTGTTAAAACTCCCCAGTATCAACTGTAATGAATATTATTCTAGATCAACTTTGTCTATAGTTTCAGTTCTTTTGGGTTTGACATTTTCCAATGACGGTTCCGGGTATGGTGTGACACTTTTCTGCAAAGGAAATGCATCAATCTGTCACAGTGACCTGAGGCAGGGTAACATACAAGTAAATCCTGGGCAAAGCTTTCTTTGGTAGAATATTTAATTTTGCGGCTCATAAATTGTTACTGTCTTCATTTGCCTGGAAAATACACCCATCACTGTTTTTAATGTGCTGTGACACCTGCAGTTACAAAGTGGTAATTTACACTAACCAAAGCAAGTAAAACAATATTGAAGTCATGTTTATAGTTGCAGGAAAGCAATTCAGTATATAGTTCTTTTTCTGTGATTACATCAGTGTCAACAGTGTTTGAGAACCCACTCTTCGATTTTCTGTGTCCACCTTCATTGGTTTAAGCATTACAGTGCACAAGTTCCATAAACTGTTTTTCTTACTGTTGTCTCACCTGTTCTGTAAGCCTGTCTGAATGCATTTGTGGAAACTGAATTGCCATGGCTGGAGACCCCAAAATGCAGGAAGTACTGTATCAAGGAAGGCTCTTGTATGCTCCTGTTAGTATAATGAGGGATATTAATTTGGAATATTATTTTGCTGTAGCATCTGTAACATAGTTGGCTGAGACACTATGCTACATCCCGGCAGGTCACTGGTTCAACTTCGTTGGATTTTTCAATTGATCTAATTTTTCCATCTACACAATGGCTCCGGGGTCAATTCAGCCTCTGACAGAAATGAGTACCAGGAATCTTCCTGGGGGTGAAGGGTGGCTAGCATGTAAGGTTGACAATCTCAGTGCCATCTGTGAGCCGATTGTCTAGAATATGTGGGAGCCTCGACATCTGACAACCCTATGGCCCTCCATGGCCTGTTACAGGGATAGCTTTACCTTTTTTTTCTGTAAATAGTAAGTTTTAAATAATATTGATAAATAAGTGAAGTTCTTTGATATATTAAATATCTTACCATTAAAACTATAATGAATTTTTCATGGCTTCAAATTTCTGTTTTTCATGCACTAATAATTTCCACGTTTTTAACCAATCAGTAGAGATGGGTTAATCAAAGTTTCAAATCTTCCCACTCTGCCAAACTTTTCTGAAAGGTTAATGTTGGACAATATGCGAAATTTCGAATAGAAACATTTGTGTATGAGTGCTGGTAGCTTGCTAGGATAGCTCAGTCACTATATTAACTGGTCTACAGTGTGGATGACCAGGAATCAGTGTTTGATTCCCAGCAGGGGCAGAGATCTTTCTCATCTCCACAAAGTCAAGAATAGTTTGGAGTCCACCCAAGCTCCTATCCAATGAATAAAGGGGTCTCTCTTCAGGTGTAAAGTTGCCAGGACGTGAAGGTCACATCTCCGTGTAGTGCCGAGGTTAAGAATGCATTTAACTTTATCCGTACATTCCTGTAACATGGTACTTAATTAAGTACACGGACATCTTTACTTTATTCGCTTTGTGCTGTCATAAATTAAATTAAATTTGTGAAAGAACGAAATTCGAAAAGACAAAACAACTTGGAGTTTGAAGTTAGTAGATGTGTAAACCACCCATCTACCAATTAAAGTATGCCTTTATTTCTCTTTCCCAAAACAAATGCACCACTACTCAGATTTTGGTGTTCTGGATTTTGACACCGTGTGTAGTCTTAATAGGTGAATAACAAACTGGACTCTGAAGATGGAGGCACTGTGTTCCTCCGAAATGTTATCTTTCTGCAGGACTGCTAAGTGTTAATAAGGCGGTTAATTGTCGGCTTCGGCCGCGGCGGTCTGGGTTCGATTCCAAGTCAGGTCGTTATGGATTTCTGTCTGGGGCGGGTTTTCTTCGAGTACTTCGGTTTCCCCTGCCAATCGTAACTCTACCAGCTTCTCCGCATTCAGTCGCCCTATCATGGATGCTATGTAATTTCAATACTGACATTGTCTTAAAAAAACAGCTTAAAGACTATTAAACGTGCTTGTTTCCGAGTTGCTGCTAACCGTATCACTTAAGATGTGCATAACAAAAGTTTTAT